TCTCTCTTCCCATAAGCATTTAGCATTTGAACGAAGTCTTCTACTAAAGCTGACTTCTTAGCCATTGTGTTTTGAGCAGACTGAACCCCAGTCTCATGTGAAATGGTGACTGCCCCACATCTCCAGTGAGGCTGCCTCTGCCAACTGTAAGGACTCTACCAACGCAAGTTATTGTCATCCCAGGTTCACCGCTGATGTTCGCTCTGTGCTAAGCCGAAACCTTCACCAACACCGGCTCTGGTGACAGCTGCTCCCCCTCCACCTGAGTTGGGGTGGGGGGGAAAGGGAGGCTGAGCCCTCGAGATGCTGTCTGATGCCCTGTCCAATGGTGAGGACTGCCTGGGCAGGGTCTGCCCCTCCCTCCCCTCTCTGCCCTGGGAGCCCTGCACTCCATATGGAACCTGGATGGACACATGGGCCAGACTCTGAAGCAGCCTCTCTCTAACTTCCTGTTCGCACTCCCTGGAAACCCCAGACTGGGACATAAGCAGAGGTCTAGGAGAGCGGAAACAGTGTCTGTGATGGAGAGAGAGGACTGGCCAGAGTGTGAGACAGACATTCAATAATCCGGGAGGCTCAGAGAGAAGCCAAGCCAGCTTTGTTGTGATTTAATTTTTTAAAAAACTCTTGTACAAAACTGATCTAATTCTTCACTCCAAGGGCTGGGTTGTGGGTGGGAAACTGGGATTTGGGCCACTGGACTTCCCCCAGACTTGTCCCCTTCCCTCCTTTTCTCTACATTTTCCTTTCTTAGATTTTCTCAGACCTGTAACCAGCTCTCTCTCTGTTCCCCCCTCTTTTAAACCATGCATTATAACTTTGAAACCAAAGCTGCCCCAGGTCCTTCTCTGGGGTTATGGGACGTGAAAGGCAGAGGGTAGAGACTGCTGGTCCTAGGGCTGGGGGGAAAGGTGGTGTCGCTTGGCGAGGATGGAGTGGTCAACATCTACAGCAGATGCTTTGGTGGGAAGCGTCTAAGTGGCGGGATGGGCGTCCTGGGCGGGAGCAAAAGGACAGCTGTCCGTCCTGAGGGAACCTGAGCTGCAGAGCAGGACACAGATGTATGAAAGGAGAAGCCTGGACGCCAGAGAATGCGTGTAGCCGGAGAAAGGCCGGGCTGGGGGCAGACGAGACCAGCTCAACGGTCTGTGCCCCCGGGCGGCGGCGCCCTGGGCCCTCCGCTCCCCCGGGCCACCCGGACCGGCCTACGTCTCCCGCTCCGGCAGTTTCGGGCCCTGCCTCCCTCTGCCCTCCTCCCGCGAGCCGGCTCTACTTCTCGCCTTCGCCACGTGACGTTCCGCCCTTCCCTCGGATCACATGATTTCGTTGCTACGAGGCTGAAAGTGTTCTTCCGCGCCGACCTAGTCCCCACCTTTCGAGCCTGCTCTCCAGTCCCTATTGGTCCGCTCTCCCGAAACCTAAGCGTTCAGTGCGTCTCTGCAAACATATGCTTAGTTTCTGCCCTCTATTTCGGAAGACCATCTTCTCCCCTGGGGTACTACTTTGTTTTGGTGTCAACGGCCGCCTTTTGCGTACGAACTATTCGTGAATAGCTGTCCTTGTAATTATCTGCTTTCCTCTACGTTATGTCCGGAAAGAATTTGGGGGGGAGCCGAGTCTCAAACTATGGTTACGATCGCCTAGCTTCTTTTCTTTCCTAGCTTCGTGGGGAAGGTCGGGAAATGGGTTTTCAGTTATTTTTTACGGTAGCGATGACCAACCACCCAAATTTGCTACGTCGCCGTGTAGCCCACAAATTGATTCCAAAGTGATTACGCTGACGGCGTGGGGGTGCGGTCAGGCGGTGCTAAGCTATCCGCGTTAGAGCTGCTGCGCTGGTGGCGTAGCGTAGCCCGCAGGGCGGCCCCAGATGGGCGGGGGCGGGGTTGGCGAATAGGGAAGTAGCGCAAGTCTTGGGATCGCTCCGCTGAATCCGCCTGCGCGTCGCCACCGTCGCTGCCACCGCCCCCCGTCCCGGGCCCCCCCTCCCTGGGTTCCCTCAGCCCAGTCCGGTCCAGCCCGGTTCCCGGGAGGATGAAGTTCGTGTATAAAGAGGAGCATCCGCTCGAGAAGCGCCGCTCTGAGGGCGAGAAGATCAGAAAGAAATACCCGGACCGGGTCCCGGTGAGGACGGTAGCCAGGGCCGAGGGCGCGGGGCGCTGGTACTGACGCCACAGCCTGCGCTTGGGTCCGGAACGGGCAGCGCGGCCATCAGGCTGTGGGCTGCGGTGGGGTTGGGAGCGACCCTGAAACTGCTGTCGGGGGCTGAAGAAAGGAGAGGTGGTGGTGGTAGCTGGGGGTTCGGGGGTGTGGATGGGGGTGATAGACCTTGGGATTTGGGTCGGAGGCTGTAGGGAGTTTGACAGTCTGAATGTCACATGGTCATTCCCCCAGCCAGCTAGGCTTTGGCGATTGAACCCATAGCCGCCCAGACAAGTCGTCCTGTGGGGTTCAGGTAGTTGTTTATTATGACGCCCTCCATTCAGGGACCTGGGTGGTTAGGGGAGTTGAGTCAGTGGGGTCCCGGGTCTCTACTCAGGGCTGCACCACGTGTTCAGAGACAAAGAAATGAGTCTGGGGCGTTTAGGTGCTAGGAATATTGTTGCTTGGGTTGCTGACAGGGGGAGCTGGGGGCTATAATATCAAATGTCTTCTAATTTTCATCTTCCCTTTACCAGGTGATAGTAGAAAAGGCTCCCAAAGCTCGGATAGGAGACCTGGACAAAAAGAAATACCTGGTGCCTTCTGATCTCACAGGTGGGAATATTACCACAGTACCCGGGTTTTGCTACCTGTGGGAGGAGGCTCCACAAAGCAGCTGTTATTTTGAGGGCATTTGTGATACCTGTGACTTTATCACATCTTATATTTTGGGCAGTTGGGCAGTTCTATTTCTTGATCCGGAAGCGAATTCACCTCCGCGCTGAGGATGCCTTGTTTTTCTTTGTTGCCCAGGGTTGCTGCTAGAGATAATCCTCCTGTTAGGCTGCTAGGTTGGAACAAGTTGGGGGAGAATTAAGGCACTGGCTTTGAGGGTCTTCAAAAAATGGTTTTTGAAGAATGTGTTTGGGTGTTGGGTGGTTCAAGTAACTAAAGGCCAGATGCCTGAGCACCATTATTTTCTGCTTTCACCCCAGGAGCACCATGAAGAAGACTTCTTTCTATACATTGCCTACAGCGACGAAAGTGTCTATGGCCTGTGAAGCTGCTGCGCCTGTAGTGGAGGGTCCCATTCTACATAGAGAGAGATGGCCCCCCCTTCCTTGACTTCTTCCTTCAGGACCTGTACTTCCTAATGTTTGAGGCTCTTCTCCAGACCCTCTTAGCAGGGGGTTCATGGAGGAGATGGCCTCTGGTACCTCTCCTTTCTCCTGCCTTCTTTCTACCACCTTTCCCACTCTGCTTTAGACTTGATTGTCGATCTCTGTCACATCCAGCGATTGTTTTGGTTTCTGTTCCTTTTCTAACTGCCTTGAGGGCATTTGTGATACCTGTGACTTTATCACATCTTATATTTTGGGCAGTTGGGCAGTTCTATTTCTTGATCCGGAAGCGAATTCACCTCCGCGCTGAGGATGCCTTGTTTTTCTTTGTCAACAATGTCATTCCACCCACCAGTGCCACGATGGGTCAGCTGTACCAGGTATGGCGATTGGAAAGTAGTGGTGGTTTTGGAGAGGAGTTGGAAGAGCTTGAGGGGAAGAAAGTTTTAGGTCAGCAGTTCTTGGGTTAGCTGAGTAGTCCTGGGTTGGAGGTTTGTACAGAACAGTGGGAGTAGACCCAAGGGAGAGAACAGCGTGCTGGAGCAACTGTTCTGATATGGACTCTCTCCCACCCTCCTCATTCCAGGCAGCAGAGAACAGTTTGAGGGGTTTTTTTAGTTTTTAAAGTTTTGGGTTATTAGTGACTAAATGTCTAAACTTAAAGAACAATTTTTCTAGTTTAATCTAAAAACCAGTATTTTGGGTCTTTATGATATAACGAAGGAACACTTAGGTTGCCTGATTTTTATTTATTTTCTTAGTACTTTGGTACCTCTCCTTTCTCCTGCCTTCTTTCTACCACCTTTCCCACTCTGCTTTAGACTTGATTGTCGATCTCTGTCACATCCAGTGATTGTTTTGGTTTCTGTTCCTTTTCTAACTGCCCAAGGAGCTCAGAACCCCAATACTGGTTCCCTTTCACTATCTTTTTGTGGGGTAGATGGAAGGGGATGAAATTGCGGGGGGAAGGTAAGAGGCACATCAATAAAGAGGAAACCATCAAGCTGAACTGGATTTTGCTTTGTGTTGCTACCTTCTATTTTTTAGTGGTTGGTGGGAAAAGATGAAATTGGGGGGATAGTAATATATTTTGGTTTATTCTGTTCATGTTGGGCTTTTCCTTGTGCATGAAAAGGTGCTTTTGTTGTGATGGATGGGATATCCTGAGTATTGTTTCTTGAAATTCAGTTGTATATACCTGTGTATTGGGTCCTGATGTAAAAGAGGAACATTTTTACTGGGTTCCGGTGGGGAAAGTTTGACAGTATCTGCTTTAGATAAATACATCCAAGTTTGTTCCTTTTGGATTAAGGAAGAGATTTTGTCACTTGTCCAGACTTTGTGCGGGCATGTGGGATCTAGTGGAGTGAATCCAAAGAGGAGAGAAGACGAGGAGGAGGGATCTATTTTACCAGAAGGACTTCATCTCCCAGCAACCACTCACTCCTCTGGCCGGAAGTGGGGCGGTCCTCCAAGGGAGAAAGAAACTGCAGAGTGAGGCAGTATGGTGGCCGAGAGTTCTAATCCCTTCTTTCCCCTTCTTATTTAGTCCCGCCCAGCCTACATTTCCCAGGAGCCTGCGCGCGCGTTTCCGCTCTACCCTCCGCTACCAATCTCCCCGCCACTCCCAGGGGGAGGGGAACGGTTTAGTGCGCCGGCGCGAAACAGTAGCTTGTTGGGAATTGAAGTTCCCAAAGCTCATGCGGTCCCCTTCCCGCTGCCCCCAGATGGACTACAAGTCCCTTGATGCATTGCGCGTCGGCGCCCGCGAAGGGAGGGGAGGAGGGAGTGGAGAGGAGGAGGAGGAGGAGGGAGCAGGCGGCCGGCGGCGCGGGGGGAGGGGGCTCGGTCCGGGAGTGCGGGAGGCAGTGGTAGAGGGAGGTGGCGGCAGCGGCTAGCGGACTCGAGTCACAACCGGGGCCAGGCAGACACCTCTGTGGAGCGAGGCAGCGGGAACACCGAGCACCGGAGGCGGCACCGGGATCCCCGGCTCGGGAGGGGGCCGCCGGACCGGGAGGAGGGGAGGGGGCGATGCTGGAAGCCATGGCGGAGCCCAGTCCCGAAGGTGAGCTCTCGACCGGCACTGAGCACTAAGCCGGAGGGGGGCGGGCAAGGAATCAATTGGCAAACTTGGAGGTCGAGCCCGGAGTCCAGCGAGGGAGGTGGGGAGGGGTTCGGAGGCTGCCCCTGGAGGTGGAGGGCGACGAGTTGGGAGACCTTGGGGAGGAGGAGTGGGAGACTGTGCCGGGGGTAGTTGGAGACCAGATGCTGTGTGAGGTGGGTGGAGGGGAGGAGTGGGAGCTGGAGATCAGCCTGGGGTTAGGGGGCGAAAGGGCCTCCGGCCAGTCGGAGCCCTGGAGCTGGGAGGCTGGGGGGTCTGGGCCGGAG